CCATGGGTGCTTGTGAGACTGACTGTGTCCATCTTGGGGCAGTTGATTGTCTATACTGATTCTTTCCCCTCCTTAGCCTGGTTTTGTAGGTGCTAATTGATGGCAATTAACTGGCTACATTAGCTAGGTCCTGTGTATTGAGCTGTTCCCTGAGTGAATCATGATTGATTGGTAACTGGTAACACAGTAGCTTAGCAGCCAGGCCTGCAGTAGTGTCTCTCAGACCCAAGACAGACAGTCAGTCCCACAAGCACCCATGGCACGAGTTTGGTCTGTCAGCAGCCAGGGGTGCAGGGCCCCAGAACCCCCCTGCACCGATCTCGTCAACAGCTGGCAGGCTTCGTGGCCTCAGTGGGGGCCACCATCCCTGCAGCTGTCACCCCGCTGTGGCCTTAACAGCCCTTAGCACACGCAGTGTCACCCATGGCACAAGTTTTGCTTGTCCACAGCTTGAGGGGCAATTCCCCTCAAACCCCTGCACCAATCTTCTTGAAACTTGGCAGGCTTTGCGGCCTCAGTAAGAGCAACCACCCCTCCCGTTTTGACCCCCCTGTGTTGTAACACATAGACGTGACAGGAGTTTCGCTTTCAAGAATTTAGGGTGCAGTTCCCCCCAAATCCCTGCACTGATCTTCTTGAAACTTGGCAGGCTTTGTGGCCTCAGCATAGGCTACCACCCCTGCAATTTTCACCCCCCTATGTTGTAATGACTAGACGTGACATGAGTTTCGCTTTTAAGAATCTGGGGTGTTCTCTGCAGATTCTACCACCCCTGAAAATTTCATCCAAATCAGACAAAAAACAACAAAGTTATAGATATTTTATTGTTTCCCCATTATACCCTATGGCTGGATCGCCGAGGTGGCTCCAAAGCGCTTAGGAAGTTCCGAACCACTTTGGGAAGCCTAATGAAGACAGCGCTTCGACCCAGACGTGCTGCTTTGGACCCCGAAGCATCCAAAGCTTCTCCAGATCTGAAGCTCTGTCTGAAGCCTCACACAGCCCTACTAAAAACACCTTGTTTTAAGCAATATTCTACTAGTGTGGGTTCACATCAAAGATGCAAAGTGAGGGTTAGGAAACTGGTTTGTCCTATATTTTTAGGATTAGAAATCTGGGCAAACAGCACATACAACAAGAAAACTGTCATCTTGACACAATGGGAGCTATTTTCTCCTCACCCACATGCACTTGTCATTCTTCTTTAGGATAATGGGAGTTATGTGCACAGGAGGGGAGACTCAGGTTAAGTCTGAGTACAGTATAATCAGCTTTAGAAAATCTTGTTTCTGGTTCTTGTTTCCCAGCGCTGGAAGCCATCAGGACATCTCTTCCATCTGCTTGCTATAGGCCGGGGTGACCAGCTGGCAGCACGCATGGCCCAACAGGCATGGGGAGCCTGTGTGTGTGGCACATGGCAGACCAGGGAAGGGACAGGTACCATAGCAGCAAGGAGGGCATGAGAAGAGAGTTGAACAGCAGACTGAGCAGGGAGCACAGAGCACGAAGCATAAAGCAAAGCACAGATTGGGCAGGGGAATGGGACTGAAGTGGCACTTGCAGTGGCACTTGGAAAGGGTAAAAAGTACAGAGCTCATTTGCAGCATACATGCCCAAAAGGTTGGCCCCCACTGCTATAAGCATCTGATAACATTAGGAACAACACATTTCACCTGGAAATAAGAGCTGTATTACAAATGTCCAGGATAAAATGCCACTCACTGGTTCAATTACTGATTGTCCACAGCCACATCTTAATTAATTTGCTTTAAAAATGGTGACATTTCAACTCTAAAAATTAACCTGCTGCAGTTTTAATTTCCCATCAAATAGTCATATAAGCTACCCTAATATTACACAGCTATTACAAAAGTTGTTATTTAAAAAGTGGTATATAAAACAGGTCCACATCCTGCCATCAGATACCTATGGATGGCCTCTTGTGCTTGTGGCAACCTCTATCAACCCAACTGCAAGACCTGGGCATTTCCCAGAGAAGTGCAGCTATTTTGCTTTGCATTTTTTTAAAGTTTCATTCTTCTAAAGTAATCCTTTTAAGGAGCAGCTGCAACAACAGCATCGTTTTTGTTCAACTGAATTACAGTGTCAGATAAAACACATTATTAAGGAAAGAAAAAAAAGCTTATTTTAGCTTAGACCATTTTCTGTCTGAGCTTTTCCATGCACTACTATTAAAAAGTAAATTCACAATGAAAATGTGAAAAATGAGATTATGATGCATGTGTATGGTATGTGTAAAACACATTTTCCAAAGACATTTAATTAATTAAAGTTTGGTATATTAAATGTTACTAAGCAGTTTTTTATCAAAACTGTGTGCAGTATTTAATATAAAACTGTGATTTTCAGGATGACAGCACTGTTTGTGTCAGGGGACAGGAAGTGTTTGTGTTATCAAACATAAGAGGCAGTAAAATACTGGGCAAAGCAGCTGGATTATGTTTCTAAGGCATTCTAAACTGAGATACGAACACTCTCAAAGCAAATGAGTGATTTATAAGAAACTTTCAGCTTCAAAGAAGGACTTTAATGAACTAAAACTAAATTTAGCAAACCATACTGTATCATTTCCTGCAGCAGAGTCACCCATTCCTAAAAGGGCCCTCATTAGGCATGACACAACAAGCAGCACCCAGTCAACCTGAGGGAAGCCCACAGGCTCGCAGGGCCACTGGCTGGCTCTTTGTCACCAAATGCAGCAGGTTGAATGCAGACATCACTGTGATATCCTCACCAACAAAACCAGAGGCAAAGAACAGGGGCAAGAGCTGAGTAGGGAGAAAAAAAAGATGAAAACAAATTAAAACATCAAAAATGTTAAATACATTCATAGCAAAACTGATGGTTATGATTTTATCTGAGAACACAGAACTAAAATTCTTAATGCATCTTGCTCAGTTAGGTTAGTCCATTTTTTGCCTTCTGCCTTAGATGCGTGCACATGCACGCATATGTGCGTGTGTGTGTTTGTAAACACTTAACATACAATGCTGCAATGTTTTGTGTTACCAGGCACAAGGAAGTGTTACTGCTCAGCAAATGTGAAACAACCCAAATTTGCAATTAAAAAAAGTAAAGAAAACAATTTCTGTGTGATGAATGATGAAAACCAATCGTGGTTAAAAAAAATGCTCATTTGTTTGGCTGTTTGAACAAAACTAAATTTTTATTACAGTAAACAAACTTTTCAGTTATCAGAAAAATGTGAAAATTTTTCCTCCTCGTTCATTTACATCTTAAATTATCCATGGGAATACATTTAAGCAATCTTCCAGCTGGTTTAAATATACAAAATGTAATGTGGCGGTGGGGATTTTTTATTTTATAAGCTATAACATGTGTATATGGTGACTGTTTTGTTTACCTCACAACAGGAAGGATGAAATGCAGCTGCCTTATAGAGGAGTCTTTCATAGCTACAGTCTGTTTAGAAGATTATTGCAATAAGAGACATCAAGAACTTAAGCCCACCCCATTGAAGTCAATAACAAAGCTCCCGCTGGCTTCAGTGGGAGCAGGAGTAGACCCAAGGTAGTTAATTATTAGTCGTGCACCATTCCCAGTCTCAGTTCCAGAACATATTTTATTCTAATGTTTCTTTAAAAAAAAATAAAGTGCAGAATACAAGTGTCCAGAAATGTACCAAAAATGATTGGCGTGTACATTTCCTGAATCAAGTGCTCAGTCTCTTCCGGCCCCTGAAGAACAAACACATAACAAACTGTAATATATATTACCAAATCACTCTGGAGTATATCTGACAGAAATCTGCCTGTATTAACATGACTGAACTCTGACTTTTCCAAACTAAACTCAGTATAAAACTAAAACATTTTTGTGTTACTAAATGGAGACCAAAAGGAGGGGGAAGGTAAGTACTACACAAGGAACAGCCCAAGAGAACCATTAAACATAAATAAACATGTCATTTTCACGAGTGACTGCAGAACTGGTTTAAAAAAAAAAAAAAAAAATCCTCCGGAGCAGACTACTGACTAATAAAAGATCAAAGATCTATACATAAAAAACAATGCAAATAAAAACCTATTTTTTCCTAGTGACCTTCACTGTGAGGAATAAAGTGTGCAGTGAAAATGTAATTACCTAGCAAAGCTGCAGTCTTATTGTGCTCCCGCAGCTGATCATAAAACGTCTTCCTATTCTGTTTCATCAACTGCAGTACCAGGCAGCCTGTGCGCCTACCAATCGCAGCCATCTGGCTTGTGTCAAAGCCTGTGAGTCAGGCAGCTACAGTGCAACAGGAAGAAAGGCAGTGATGTCACTCTGCAGGTCAGGCAAAGAACAAAGATGTATTCTACAATTAAAAAGCTGGGTGCCCCTAGACCAGAGGCCTCCAACATGCTCTTTCTAGGTGATTTATAGTTAATACTAGTTTCACTTTACCTAAATAGAAGAGCACCATCTAGTGGTTAGTGCCGCAAAAACATCTTGAAGGGAGGGGGGAATTAAAAAAGGCAAAGATTAGCAACATGGTTAAGGTTAGAGACTGGGGTCTGAAAGTGTTACAGCTTCAGACAGCTAGACAGACTAAAAGTTTGCCCTCACTCCTCAAATCTACACTTCAATAAACCACTTTTACCTGTTACATGGAACGATTACTTGACATAGCAGCAGAGTCTCCCAGTGCCTCAAGAAGGGGTATTTGTGCCCAAAAGCTTGCGAAGAACTTTTCTCCAACTATTTAGTTGGTCTAATAAAACACATTACATCTACCCAAAAACCATGCCTGCCTTGAGCAAAGTAAAACATTTAATATTTGTCAATCTTGAAATCATCCTATTCCCTTCAGCTGTCCTACAAAGTCTCCCGGCCTCTGGCCGTCTATCACTTCCCTTTGAGAACTTCTTGGCCTGCCCTTATCTTCCCTGGGTTAGGGCCTCAGTCTGTCTCTTGGAACTTCTCAGCAATGGGTATCCTGACTTCCCACTGCCACCGAGCTGCGGTAAAATTCTCTTTCCCCAAACATCTGTCTTACTATTCTTGCCCTGGGGTTGGTCTTCCCTCGTAAGG